TCCCGTGAAAAGAAGATAGAGAATAAGCATATAACAGTGGGCTGGCGGTAATCCACAGTCTACAAATGTTTTTAAATGTTTCTGGCTAGATACGAATTCCGCACAGCCAGAGGTTTACTGTATTTTTCTATTGCCTGGTCATATAAATAGTATTTGCTTCCTGTCTGGTCACATTTTGTTTATTATTAATGATCTTGTGAACTGCCCATTATGAAGCCATTTAGTGCTTCACTTTGTCTTTTTCTGATTGTTACCTGACCTTTAGAGATGTGATTTATATCTAAGTCAAGACTCTGACACTAGCCTCCTGGTGACTTTACTTTTAAGAAAAGCAGATCAGTTCCCTTGGGACACAAATCATAACCATGGCTCTTTGTAACTTGTCCTCTTGTAGTTTTCATTGTGAAGCTTAAGTAAAGGGTCAAGGCCCACAGCGCAGGACACCACCTAAGTTAAGAAGAGTAGGAGAGAGACTTAAGATAAATGACAAATATAGTGGTTAGGAATGAGCGGAGGTTGTTCAGTCCATTAAGTTTGTTCTGATGTTTCGTAGATCATGGCAGATCTTTTAATACCATTTCTCCATATCCGTAAATAATAATCCTTGCATTTGATATCACATATCACATCTTGAAGACGTCTCAAAGCGGTTCACAGAATATTACTGTAAAGTGAATTGACTTCATATTTTGTGGGCGAAATGCGGCAGCCAATTACTTCTCAAGTATCTCCTGTATTATTCTCCCTTTTAAAGATCCCCATCGATTCTGTATTTATGGTCTCTTCTGCCTCCTTGCTTGTTAATTCCCTTCATTATTTTAAACATTTCAATCAGATCGCTACCTTGCCTCTTTCCAGATTGATGTGTCAAATGAATCTTTTGATTGTTGGATGCTCGGATGAACCTCTGCCTGAAAATGATACCCTGCTGTGTGAATAGGACCCACTACAAGGTTGAAATGATAGAATAGGTGTTTGTAAGCAAACGTGGCACCAGTTTTGCAGGCAGCAAGGTCCCATAAACAACCACAAAGTGAATAACCAATTTATCTGGAATGATTGTGCCCAGTACATTGGGAGAAACTTGATTTTTTTTCCCCAATGGTATCATGGGATCTATAACATTCCACCAAACAAGCAGGCAGGTCCTCTAAGGACAGCACCTCTGACCATGCAATGCTCCCTCAGGAAAAAACACATTGGAATGAACAATGAGCTCATTTGGTGAACCATTAATACAGATTCTTCCTGATTTGTTCAATACTAAGGGTGCTACAAGATATATAATCAGGTCAATATTAAGAACTCATATTCTGTGCATCCATGTGTACAATAATCAGTGGCAACATTCATATACACATGCGCCACAGCATACCACACCACACTATGCCACGCTATACCATTGCATGCCACACTATACACAATGCCAATCACACCTCAGGCCACACCATGTTTAAAGGGGTTGTACTTAACATATGCTGTACCTGATCTGGGAATGCTGGAAGAGACAGTGTAGAGGAAACTTTACTCTGCATGGGATGTCCTCCCGACGTGAATAATAATCCTTGCATTTTGATATCGTGTTTTTCACGTCTTCTAGACATCTCAAAGCGCTTCACAGAATATGCTGTAAAGTGAATTGACTGTGTATTTGTAGGCGAAACGCGACAGCCAATTGCACACGGCAGCGTCCCACAAACAGTCGTGGATTGAAAATGACCAATTTATTATTGTTTTGTTTTGGAGGGATTATTATTAGGCGTGTGGAGTAAAGAAACTTGCCCGAGGTTTCGCGCTGCCTGGGATTGAACCCAGGTGTCTCGCTTGCAAGGCGAGTGCTCTAACCACTGAGCTACAGGACTCCACGGCACAATACAAATGTAATTTGTCTTTGTTGTGTCTAATCCGTGCTCTATTTGACCTGGGAGTATTAGATGGAACTGTGTAGAGAAATGATGACACCAGGTGCCTGAAATAAGATATTGTTCCAACTGTCAGTGTTAATCTGCCTCATCCTGCTGACCAAAATAATTTGAGACTTTCCAATTCAAACTAAGCAGATGTGTATGTTCACCTGTGACTCCCTTTATTTAAATTAACAGTATTTCATATATAAAATTGCCAGGATTGTATTGCAATCCTGTTTCTTTTGGTTTTTTTTATATTGATTGCTCCCGAAGCGTGTTAAACAAAGTTATTTGGGCTGGAGCTTCAAGCAAGACACGAGTGATTGCCTGCTGCAATGATCAACTGATGGGAGGGCTAATGTTTAACCATCTGCTTTCACTGCTGTAAATATGAGTAATATTGAAAGTCTGGTCTAAGTATAGAAAGGTCTGGCTATATTTCCCCCCATCACCAATTTTTCTTCATTCTTCTGCTGAAGATGATGGTCAGAAACATAGTAATAGGAGTAGGCCATTCAGCTCCTCCAACCTGCTCCGCCATTCTATAAGATCATGGTTGACGTGTACCTCATCTCCAATTACTTACCCTTGCCCCATATCCCTTGATACCCTGACCTAACCCATCTCTGTCCACTTCAGTCTTGAAAGTGTGAATGGATCCAGCATCCACAGCTTTTTTGGGGGGAGAGTTCCAGATTTCTACTACCCTTTGGATGAAAACTGCCTTCTGATTTTACTCCTGATTACCTCGCTCTAATTTTAAGACTGTCCCCTTGTTCTGGATTCCCCACGTATCTACCCTGTTAGTGCTCAGGTAAAACAGAACTCAGAAATGTTCTGCACAGAAGGGCCAACATGTGAGCACCACCAATGCTATGGATATGGCATCCTGGTGCCAGACCCACCTAGTTCCTCACCAGGTGGATATTCTTTCTATGTGTGTACAGATTGTACAGATTGACAGCTGATTCACTCTCCTGCTCGGTCGGTGTCTGAGTCTCACTGAAAGCACAATGAGAGTTATCCAACATGAAGGTGCTTATATAAATGTGAGTTGTAGTTGGAGGAAATATAGTAATAGGAGTAGGCCATTCAGCTGTCCTCATCCAATGTACATGTACAAATTCTTGCCTTCACACACACACACACACACACACACATTCCACCAGAGGTCACCGAATGGCGATGAGGAGCGAGAATGTTTACTGACCTTCTTGTCTCTGGCGAGAAATGTTGAGACCAATTGTAACATCTCTACCACCTGTTTGGTGCACACAAATGTGCTTTTGTGCAGGCATGTGACTGCAGCTCTGGGTGCATGTATATGTTGGTTATATGTTCGTGCATGTGTGTACACAAATGTGAATATCTATGTGTGGGGGTTGTGCAAATGGGAATCTTTGTGTGTGTGTGAGTGTGAGCATATGTGGCCAGCACCTCCCTGTTATTTTTTTTAATAGTCATTTTCTTCCCTCCCTCCAAACTGACTGTGTCTGCTCCCAGGACTCTAGTGATGCTGATCCAAATGTGGTCACTAGGAAGCAGTATAGAGCAGGACAAGGGCGGCTCTGCCTTGGAGGTCCCTTGCTGTGGGGACGTGACAACACATCACTGCCTCTCCACAGCAAATGGACTGAAAAGGTAGAAAAATCCAGGATCCCATGTCTGTTCCAACACTGAAGATCACACAGCTGCGTGTCTGTGTGCTATGTGTTGTGCTCCAACCTGTGCTGCACTTTAAGAAACAGCTTAATAATATCATAGGAAGATAGTAGGGTTGGCATTTGGAAAGATGAGATAAATTGGTGGCCTGTCTTCATCTGCAGCTCTCTTTGATCTCTGAGTCCAAAATTCTTTGTGGTTTTAGCTCGAGCCCATTGTTTTAAAATGTAACATCATACAGAATTGGGGGTAAATCCTTAATTCAGTTTTAATTGGAAACCAGTTCCTTTTAAGAAGTGCTAAAAATAACCACACTCTTCCAAGTTGAGACTGAACTTGGGACGTTTCCAAAATTCTGTGCAATCCCAAATGTTAAGTGAGGGCCTAAAGGTTAAGACTAGGATGATTTTTGATCACTAATATAGGAGACTGACTGTGTGCAGGGTCCAAATCTGGCCATTTCTGGGCAGCTAGTCACTCAGCGATTGGTCTTCATTATCCCGTAGATACAGATAAAACTACAAGAAGGAACAGGCCTATAAACAAACTGTTTAGAAATTAGAATTGCAGAGATGAAAGGACACCCTCAATGGGCAGGGGGTATTTACAAGCTAATCCTGGCATGGGCTAATGGTAGGGTAATTCACCGGCATGAAAGGGTTTGCCTGTCAAGTTCAAGCTAGTTAAGCCTTCCTTAGGTATTTCAACCTGGGAAAATGCTCTGACATTGAACTGCTTAGTGCTGGAGTACAGGAGAGAGCCTTTAATCAGCTCTGAGTCATCCTCCCCATAACTGGACCTCGCAGCTCAGGAGCTAATAGTTGTTGGTGTGTTGAGGCTGAACAAGCTTTGATCTTCAATGCGTTCATGGCAAAACATTGGTGACTGATGCTGAAATAAACCTGTAGGATTCAGTGTTCATAGTTTCATAGAAATTGTAGCACTGAAACAGATCATTCAGCCCATCAAATCTCAGCTGGTGTTTTTCTCCACGTCAGTCACATAATCTAATCGTATTCTCCTGCATGCTTTCCCATACTCTTTAATATTCCTTTTTTTTATATGATTATCTAAAAATTAGGAACAAAGGGTCATTAGGTCAATAGGTCGGCTCTCCTGCTAATCAGTAGCATAAGAGCATGATCACCTCCCCCATCCTACCGTTCTCGTCCCATCCCTCTGCTTTCTCATTGTATCCCTTCAGAGTTTTATTTCCAAAATACCTATCCATTTCTTTCTTGAATCCATGAACCTATTTCTTATCTATGCCTCTGGAAAGAGTGAGGTGTCCAATGGATTATTCCATCAAATAATCTCTACAGTACTGATAAGTTTTAGTTGCAATCGGTGAAGTTTCTATAGTTTAACTTGCGACTTCAGGCTTGTGAATTCTCAGCCATGTTTAATACCTATCTCTCTTGACTTTACAAGCCCAGCTCTTAGTGGAAACGGACACATTTGGCAGCCAGGTGAGGATCAAAGGGAAGGAGACGGACCATTACCTCTGTATGAACAAGAAGGGGAAGCTGGTGGGAAAGGTGAGTGTTGCTCATTGAAGCGCTCTGACAAGCTTGGCTACTCATGAAACCGGACTATTTATTTGATTGCACTCTGTGCCTGGGCTAGTGTTACAATGGGCTGGGCCACAGCACACTGACAATGGACCTGTCCATCTGGACCTTTCCTTAACAAAGCAAATGGCTAAAGGATGCAGTTGACATAATGGTTACGGTAAAATCTCCCAATAGTTCTTAAAATTTGAGTTTACTTACTTTATTCTATAGTTTTTTCCCCAAAACTAAATGTTAATGTCTGACAAGCGACTTTCTTTTATTTCTAACCGCCAAGCTTTATTGTCTTCTATTTTGCTGGTACCATTATGATCACTGATTTCTTTTCTAATTCTCTAAAACTTTAAACAACGCACAGCAAACGAATGCTTATCAGACCATCTCATCATCTTAATTCATTCTTCCTCAGCACCTCAAGACTGTGGAACGCCTCACCTCTCAGTCTTCCCATCGTCCTACCATCTACAGTGTTTACAATATTTTTCCCTTTCAGTACGATCAGTGTTTATTATCATCCACTGATGCACTGAATGCTGTAATGGGTACTATGTCTATGATCGATGCTCCTGTAGGGTGATTTTACACGAAGGGAGGACAAGAGTCCTGGGGCTTAATGCAAGATTACAGCGATGAAATCCAGTCCTCCCTTGTACTCCTCCCACTGGCTGGCTCTGAATTGGGATTGGCGTAAGACATGGGAATTTCCATGTGTAGGTGGGATGCATGTAATCCTCAATCTGGTTGGGATATCCTTAAGCATGATAGGTGATAGGTTACTGCATGTGTCAAAAACCCCAAAAAGTCACCAAATAAGATGATGCCTTGGAGCAGCCTCCTCACCCACCTTAACTATTCCAGGTAAAAAAAGCATTATACCACACAGCTAAATTGGGGTTAAAAAATGCAGTATTCCTAAATACAGTCTATTCCTTAGCCAAGGAACGGCATTAAGCTATGCTTTAAAATCCCACCCCGAATTTTGAATACTGGTCACAATAATTGGCTGCATCTATATAACACATTTCAAATAAAATAAAAGTGCTTAACAGGGGAAACTGCAGCAGCAAAATCTGCACTAGCAATGTCTCATAAGAAACAATGAAATGAGATGTTAATTAAGGTGAATTTGGATTAAGAGGGGAAATAAAACCGGATAACCAGGTAAAAAATCTAGGGCCCAAACCTAGCCAAAACACCCTGGGATTTTGGGATAGGCAATACCTTTCAAGCTTATTCAAGCAATGCTGCCTTGACTCAAACTGTTTTCTTAAACAGATGGACAGTAACAGGCAATTATGGCAGTACATTCCACAAAGCCCTTCTCCTGAAGCAGAAGGATGCACCTGGAGCCTCTCTTGGTCTCTGTGCCGTGCACCCTGTCCCACCTAACCTGTAAACCATTCTTCCTGAACAAAGATTGCAATAAAACCCATTCAGTACAATAGCAGTGTGTGCTCAGAAATACAATGGGTCCTGCACACCAATAAACACGTCGTCTTGCAGCCATGGTGTTTATTTGGTGTGTGCGAGCTGTTTATTGCTCTGTGCAGGCTGGGATTCCTATGTTTATCACTTAGAAAGCATCAGTAGACAAAACTATTAAAAAAAGCCACCAAAAAACAAATGAGAGACAAGATATATTTCATTCTTAGAATGTTAAATGGACCCGGATGTATCTGTCACACACAGTAAGTTCTCTGGTCCATCAAATTATGTTTACTTGCATTGTCTGTGAGTCGGGCAGTGAACCTGTGGTTCACAGAAGTTGTGCATTGACTGCCAGTTAGTTCCAATATTTTCTGTTATTTTGGTGACATTATCCAAATATTGTTTGTCCCCTCACCCCCTCTGCTCCACCATCAGTGGCCTTGCTTTCGGCCATTACGCCCCGAAGCTTTGGATCTCCCTCCCTCAATCCACCGCCTTGCCCTCTCCCTCCCAGCTTTCAAATTCTGCCTAAAGACCTTCCCTTTTGATCGTGCTTGCTTATGGTCACCTTACCCCTCCTTCCCTTAGCTCGGGGTCAGATTCCACCACTGTCTGCCCCCACGTGAAAGGAGCTATATAAATCCAAGTTGATATTGTTGTATCCAGCTAACTGGCAGCAGAATGAAGCTCCCATCATTTGAGATTGGAGTTCAGGGAGGGGAGAGGGAGGTGGGGTAACAAGTCACCTGGGCTGTACGATGAGCTAAATATTAAATTGCTCTCTCCATAGAGGATAGTCTTAGTAAACAAAACACAGCATGAATGAGAGACTGAGCTATGGGAACACAGTTACACTGCCTGCCTCTATTTAAGTTGAGGATACCTGGTTAGCTGTATGCCTCGGTTCTCTTTGAATGCTACAGGCTTTTTAACCCAAACTAACCACGATTTTCTGAATTATTTAATCTTCTATCCTGCTCTTCCTGGGTCCTTGCCCCTTCACTATGGCTTCTAAACAGAAACCTACTCACACTGCTGTCTTTGTTTTACCGGTTCAAAACTGTAAACGGTACTATCGTGCAGTACTTTCAGAATCGAATCAATTTCCCACCCCCCACCCCAATAATCTTGAAAGAAAATGTAATTTAAAAAAAAATAGTTCATCATTGTGGGATTACAATGATCACTGCTCAGAGGCTAAGGCTGGAGTTAACATTACCTCAAGTGATAAAACGGCAAGATGTTTTGTTTTGAAAATTGACTTTTGACCTTTAATCTTATCAAAATGTTAAAGCAGGAAATTGAGTTTTTCCCATGTCCCGACCAACAATCGCCCAAATAAAGTTGGTCGCTCACTCCATGACTGTTTGTGGGACATTGCTGTGCATAAATTGGCTGCCACATTTCGCCCACAAAATACATCAATCCACTTCACAGTATATCTTGTTAAGCACTTTGAGACGTCTCAACTGTGTGATAAAGCAGTGTATCAAATGCAAGGATTATTATTATGTGTCTTGGGCCAACGTGCTGGGACTCAACTCTTCAATTGTGTCGGGCAGCACAAATAGCCTTTGCCCGGCTTCACAAAAGCCAGAACTGAGATCAGCATCCAAGGGGAGTTGCTGAGTGTTGGTCCCAGCTACCTACAGGACCTGTTGTTTAACACCCTTTCACAAGTTGGACCCAAAAATCACACAGATGCAGTAGGACCTCTGCTGATGGTAAGACTGAGATAGTTGGGGCAGAACATACTTTTTGCTGTATCTAATCCATGCTGTACTTGACCTGGGAGAGGTACTTGTCCAGACATCCTGAGGCATTGAAAGTACTATTCTGGGTTCACTTTCTCAAATCCTTTTAGCGCTCTACAGCCCTCTATAAGGTCCTTGTAGTGGAGCCTTGTCAAGGTTGAAGAGCCCTAAAATAATCTTATAGAAACAGAAAGCTTGTCAGAACTTGTCAGCAGAGAAATGTCACTGTTTAAATTTTTAAAACTTTTTTTTGATAAAACACAGCTCAATGGTCGAAGCAAAGAATGTGTCTTCATAGAGAAAGTTCTAGAAAATAACTACACTGCACTGATGTCTGCGAAGTACACCGGCTGGTACGTCGGCTTCACCAAAAAGGGACGGCCGAGAAAAGGGCCAAAGACCCAGGAAAATCAGCAGGACGTACACTTTATGAAAAGGTACCCAAAGGTGCAAGGAGAGACACAGAAACCGTTTAAGTTCACCACAGTAACCAAAAGGACTAGGCGAATACGGCCTTCAAACCCCAGTTAGGAACTTCACAGACTCTTAATGGCACCAGAGGAATATTTTTGCATTTTTAAAAAAAAAGGAAGATATTCTATTTTTGTACATTTGTGTGTCAAACTGGACGGAAACTGCGGGGAGCTGAGCGTACTCAACTATGACCAGGTGTCCCATACCGAACAGGTGCATTGGTGGTTGTCAAAGGAATGAAGATATATTGTGTATGAGACTGGATCTGCAAGCAAGCGGATGGCCGTGATTCCGCAGGCAACGAAACACGGAACAACTTCAAAGGTGAATATCAAAGTGGGATTTGCGTGGAGCTAGTTTGATCAATGCTGGCACACCTGCAGCCAGGGAGTACCATAGAACTCGCAGCAAAGACCAAACTTTTTGTGATATAAATACCATATACCGACAGTCAAACTCTGCCGTGTGTTCCACACCGGGGATTGCTACCAATATGCTGCTATACATCAAAGGAAAAACTTTCCCCTTCCCCCTCCAGTAAAAGAAAGCTACAATGACGAGGAAATATTTTAAAACCAGCTGTATTGTGAGCAACTATTTATTTCACCTCTGTGTATATTACAGTCCCTTGAAGCAAACTATACTGCCTCAGTGATTAAAATTGCAAGAAAATATTTCAAACATTTCTCCGTCTCTTTGCAAAATAGAGAGCTTTTCACTGCTGGGATGCTACAGCGTGCAGGTGGGGGGATTTTGTGTCCTATCACAAGTCGAATGGTCAAAGCCAATTTCTTTTGCTGAGGTAATTTTACTGGTTGTATAGGGTCAGCTCTACTGGGACATTTCAAAATCCCGATTGGAGTTTTGTCTCATCTTCTCCTTCTTAATAGGTTGTGTTGTGCTGTGCATGACATCTGGAAAGGCAGAAATTCCACCTAGTCTTAGCCTGTAAGGCCATTTTACCCCCAAAAGTTTTAAGATAATGTGGAAATGAGGAAAATTGTTAAGTTTCAGTCTTAGCTTGGAAGCCAGTTCTTTTTAAAATCGGTGGAAAACCGACTTATTCAGAGCTTAACCCACTCTGTACCTGACCTGGAAGTGCACCACTTCGAGATGGTGTAGAGGGAGCTTTACTCTGCAACTAACTCATGGTGTACCTGAGCTGGGAGTGCTGAAAGGGACAATGTAGAGGGAGCTTTACTCTGTTTCTTAGCTGTAAATTGAGCCACCAAAACTGGTCAAATGAAGATACAAATCGATTAAGTATAATAAAATCACAAACTCAGTGAGAATTGGTGGTAAATCACTCCCTAAACATTTGGAGTGAAAATTAGCCTTTCAGTATCACCAACACAGACACAAGAGATTAATAGCCTAATTTTATAATGCTGTTTTCATTAGTTCAAAGAAGGTTGAGTGGAGGCCTGACCGACTTGTTTAAAGATACAATGGTTTTTATAAGCTAAATAGTGAGAAATGTTTCCACTGGTCAATGAGGCAATAATTATATAATGGAATACAAACACTGCCACAGACTAATTGGGGCAAATTGGCTTGTTTCCATGTTGTAGCAATAAAGTAACTCTTATAAATTTATGATCATCACCAAAATATTAAAGGAACAGGTTAGGAGATTTTTTTTCCACACAAGTTTATTGGGACATGGAATAACCTGCAAAACTGGTGGTTGAAGCAAAATCCGTAATAGCTTTCAAAAAGGAATTAGACAAATATTTGAAATGGAAAAATATAAAGATGTTTGGGAAAAAGGCAGTGGAGTGGAACTAAATATAGATCTTTCAGAGAGCTGGCACAACCATGATTCTTTGCTGCAGAATCCCACGATTCTGTATATTAAAGTTTATGGCCACAGAAGGGCCTGAGTTGCAGTTTCTGTACATTCATATTGACCATTTCACCGCACTCAGTGTTGGATCTAGGAATTATTCTGAAATTCTCTGTAAATTGTAGAATTAGAAATTACAGCTTAGGAGGAGACTGATCAGTCCACTGAGTCCCATGTGATGCTAATTCCTACACTCAAGATATTTACTGTTATAACCTATCCAGTTCCCTGCTCTTTTCCATGATGATTAATCTGCATCCTTGTCAAATATTCATCAGTTCTCTTTTAAATGTTGTGATTTATTTCAATAGTCGTGGCAAGTTACAACTACTCTTTTTGAAAAGAATTCTTCTAATTTCACCCTAACTCTTCCAAGGGACAGTCCTGAGCTTTTGCCCCCTTTTTTACAGATTGCCCAGCCCAGCTAGTATCATCTTTTGCTATATATCCTTTCAAAATCTTTCACAATATGGAAAATCTGATTCAGATCCATTCTCAATCCTCCTCTCTGTTCCAGACATATTTAACCCAACTTTACATGTTTCTTCTTAGGACTATAATCCTCATTCCTGATATCATCTGTGTGAATCCAACCCACCGTGGCTCTGATGTTCTCTCTGTACTGCGACACCCAGAACTGCACACAGTACCCACAACAGTCACTTGAGTAATGTCTTGCATAAGTCTTATCAATCTAAAATAGTGGGGGTATATTGCAATATTCTGTCATGGTCTCCAAATTAAAAATTGTTCTGACATTCACCTCTCTGAAGATAGTCCAGAAACAGCCATTTTGTGCAGCGCAATATATCTGCGGAGAGTTGCCGACAATTCACATTGCCATGTGATGAGGCCACAAAATGACAAGAGGGTCTAAAGGGGGACAAAGAGTGGCTGAGAGACAAAGCTATGCAAGCTTCCTTTAGAAATTTTAGGGTTATAGCAGAATTTAGTGCACTGCCTTCTCACTTAAACAAATCTTTGGTAACATAACTGCACTTAAAATAAATGTTACGAACCGTTTGTCTCTTAAAAAAAAGCAAGTGCCTGATTTACATGTAAGAGGCACTTGTGCAATGCGAGTTAATGCAGATACCCAAAGCATTGCTGTTATCAGTGCCTGCATCCTCACTTGATGTGAGCTGATGGACTAAGGAGCTGAGTGCTGCCAGCATGCCCTGGTTCAGTATTTCCTACCCCCAGGCCGTGAGTAGCCTGTGGTCACTGTAGTTTATTGACTTAGAAAATGTTAAATCTAGTAGGTATTATGAAGTGGCCAAGATGACCAGAGAGATGAGCCACTGAAGCCACAGAGAGAAAATATCAGAAAATATGACGAAGTGTTACTTCCAACAGAAAATAAACCACCAATGTTTATTCTAAATCATCCTGCCACTCTTCCGACACCTGACCTATCTGAGCTCCTCCGATGACACAGCTGGGAAAGACGGCAACAACACACATGTATACAGCACCCTGACATAAAATAAATGCCTCAAAGTGCTACGCAGAATGTAATTACTTAGGAGTTACTTTGCGTTGAGATCTGTCTACCCTAGGTCCTCCTGTAACCCTACCACCCCAGCCACTGCTTACCCTTCATTTCCCACTCCCCACCATTGGTAGGCAAGCTTTCAGTCATTCTGTCCTGCTCTTCAAAACTTTATCCTGTGAACCACTTGGGACATTCTCCTGACATGAAACGTGCTTTCCCAAATGCAAGGATTATCATTCATTATTATCCAGGAGTCCTCTGCTTCACCCCCTTCATCTGCGATCTCCTAACCCCTACCATCCTGCCCGCTCCCTCCACTCAGCAGGCACCAGCCTGCTTCACGTCCCCCAGCTCGCCCACCACACTATTGGCGGCCGGGTGATAGGGTTACGGAGCCTGGTGCAGGAGAGGACACTGGCTACAGAGTTCTGGGGAGATCTGCAACCTATGGATGGGAGGAGTTGGGGAGGCCGACAAGCAAGGAGTTTGTATGGCCAAGCCTTGGCTTAATGAATACGTGTATGATGCTTTCGGTGGCCTCCGGTGTGAGACAGTGGCGGAGCCGGGCGATGTTGCGGAGATGGGGGAAGGCAGAGCAGGTCATGGCATGGGTAGAAAGGATAGTTGTGGGTCAAACAAGACGCCAAGGTTCTGGACTGGCTTAGTAAGGTGGAGTGTGCATCCATGGATGGTGATGCTGTCAGCGCCTAAGGTGAGGAGGCGCTGACAAGAGCCAATCAGGAGAGCCTCGGTCTTGTTGATGTTCAACTGAAGAAAGTTAGCTCTCATCCAGGACTTGATGTCTGTCAGGACAGCAGTGGTCCTGGAGTCTAGGGTGGAGGTAGAGAGGTACAGTTGGGTGTCATCGGCATACATGTGGAAGTCGACCTCATGTCTGCGGACGGTGTCACCAAGATGGAGTATAAAGATATTGAAGAGGAGGGGACCAAGGACACAGCCCTGAGGAATGCTGTACGAGACAGTGCGGGGGCTAGAGGAGAAACCGTTTGGGGAGATAAAGTGGAGGAGGTCTGAGAGGTACGATCTGAACCAGTGAAGGGCAGAGCCGTGAAGGTTGAGGTGAGAGGAGAGACAGTGGATGAGGATAGAGTGATCAACGGGGTTGAAGGCAGCAGTAAGGTCAAGGAGGACGAGGAGGCAGAGGGAGCCCTGGTTGCAGATGGACAGAATGTCATTTGTCACTTTGATCAGGGCTGTTTCTGTGCTGTGGACGGCACGGAAACCGGATTGGAGGGATTCATGAAGCGAGTGACAGGAGAGAGGGAGCAAAACTGGGAAGCAACAAATCATTCCAGGACCTTGGAGAGGAAAGGGAGGTTTGAGAGCAGTGATGGGTCCAGGGAGGGTTTTTTTAAGGATAGGAGGGATGGCGCTGTTTTTAGTGGGTTGGGAACAGTGCCAGTGGACAGGAAGAGGTTCATGATGTCTGTGAGTAGAGGGGCAAGGAGGTGGAGCTGGGAGGTAAGGAGAGGGGTAGGGATGGGCCAAAGCATGTGGTTGGTTTCATGTGGATTATAGTGGTGGTGAGGGAGGAGTGAGAGACAGGTTCAAAGGTGTGGAGAGAGGGATGGGTAGGGGCTGGGGTGAAAGGGGAAGATGGGGAGGGGGTAGTAGACAGATGGGTAGAGGCAGCTGAGCGTAACCCCTCAACTTTGGATTCAAGGAAGTCCAGCATCACCTCAAAGTTGACATTGGAGGGGAGGATGGGCGAGGCGTGAGAAGCATTATCCACACATGTGGATGACTGGTGTGAACATGGTCGGGCTCAGCATGTGATACCTCCCACTCGCAATTGCACACCAGTAAACACTCATGGGCTACGTTCTCACTCTCACATGAAGAATGACCTCTTGGGCAAAGTAACAGAGAGAAGTTGTTGCCAAAACTATATCCCTGTTTGCGTCTTTGGAAGAGAAGAAGGAGGTAGTAAGTGGGAGGAAAAGTAAAAATCCCTGGAGTTGCTCACAGTGAAATTGTGGTCACAGAGTGTTGTGTGGTTTTTAGATATAGAGCTGACACACACAGCGAGTGACGCAGCACCCACCTAGGTTTACTACAATATTTACAAAATGTGGCATTAGTCAAAAATACTGAACCGCATGCGGAAAGACGCAAGCAACTTTAAATACAGACAGTCACCAAATGGACAGATTATTATATTCTACTTAGTGAAATTTCCTCTGGTTTGTTAAAAAAATAAACACAATATTGTTCAAGAATAGAAAGGAGTAACAGCGTAACTTCCTCATTGACACATTTAGAAGGGAATCTATCCACCCAGCGATGTTCCTCCAATAC